TGGGGTGGGGGTGGGGAGGAGAATGCTCGGCGCCGGCGCACTAACTCCAAGTCGCTGGCGGGTCGTCGAGAGAGAACGGCCCGGAAAAAGGCGCGAAACGGAGAAGCTCGCTTGCACATGCGCACAGCCTCCAGGGCGTGTGCTCGGGGCCGCGTGGGCCCGGAGATGTGACGAAGGCGTTCTTTGCGCGGGTTTCTTACGGCTTAGCAAAGCCTCTGCGTGGGTTAAAGCAGAGTGGAACTTCTTCTTCCGTCATCTCAGCAGTGGCCCAGCCTTGGCACTGAGACACTAATAATCCACTTCTCAGAGTGACAGCCCAGCCCCTCACAGGGTGGCTCGCCTCCGGGCGCACACAGCCATTGCCAGCTTTGAGACTCACGAGCCTACCTGCGCCCTGGATCGGGGGCCGCGAACTTTTCTCTCAGGCTACATCCACAGGTCACCCCTCAACCCCAAGGAGAAACTCGCCCGCCCCATCTGTATGGCAGGCTATTTGCACCTACCAGAAGAGGAGGAGGGGAACCAGGCCCGACCACCTGGGGCTGGAGCCCACATCCCATCCCCGCCCAAGGGTCCAGCCCCTGAGCTTGAGGATTTCGAAGGCCTCTACTTTCTGCCTTGTCAGGATAGAAACTCAAGCAGGGTAAGTGCCACCTTCAGCGTCGGGTGGCCGCTGCCTGGGAGTGTCAGCCAGGGCTGTGCCCAGCGGATTCGGGATACACAGTGGCAGGAGGGCAGCACCCAGGTCCCCGGCAGGGAGGCAGCCCCTAGCCAGGGAAGAATCCTAAGGCAACCTTCTGGCTGGCGGGTGGCACTTGAGGCAGAGTCATGGTGGAAGGTGGAACTTTCCAGAGTCCACACCCTGAGTGCCTGCTGGCGGGAAAAAGGAACCAAGCTGGGGCTTTGGGGAGTTAAAAGCTGGTGGGGAGGGTGCCCCGTGGCTTTGGCAGTAGAGATCCGGGTGCCATAAACTGCTGCCTCCGAGCAGGGTGTGCAGAAGCTGCCAGGCTGCAACGTGTGGCTTCAGCTTGGACCTGGGTCTCTACTCAGCAAAAGCTACCTGGCCTGTAAATTCGTTCCGGGCTTTCCCTGTTCCCACCCCCTATGTAAGTAAACCCTATTGTTTCTCACCCTACCTCTGCCTCGTGGGTTACTGTCCTGAGTTCTGGTATGCAGGTGAGGACTCAGCAACCAGGTCAACCCCAGACCCCTGGGTTTGTCGTGTTTCAGAATCAGACCTTGGGCTGGGGTCCTGGCTTTGCCAGGCCTGGGGTGAGATCCTTCACTTCACTGAGTCTCCACTTCCTCGTCTAGAAATTGGGACTGTTGACCTTGGAGTCAGGACTGTTGCAGGGGTCCCCTGGGCTACCCTGCCATAGTTTGAAGGTCTTAGTCCTTCATGGAGGGAATGACTAACCCTCTCAGGTTCAACTCCAGGTTCAAACTCACCTGTGTGGCGGTGGTGTCTGGGATTCTTCCAGCTTATTTTCTTCCTGTGAGCTGATGTTCTAGCACAGTCTGACAGTACTTCAGCGCCAGATCGCCCCTTGGATTCTGTCAGCTTCGTTTCTGGGACTTCTGTGTCATCCCTCATGACTGGTGAATGGGTCTCTACTGGACACCTCCTGTCTAATTCGGAGTCAGAATCTGTGACCCACTCAAAAAATGTCTTCCACTCTGGGTCCCGTGGGGGTGTATATCGTTCGTGCCATTTTGATAGAAAGTCCCTCTCAGTCAAAGATTCCTGCTGGCCCGGGGCTCCCTGGGCTGGGGCTATTTGCTGGACTGTTGGGTCTGATTGTCCTGGCCTTTCTTGGGTGTTTGATATGGTCTGGGCAGGTGGTTCCTTTTCGGGTTCTGGTGGAGGCTGGACTGCAGGTGTCGATCCAGCTTCTGGTTGACTTGGCAGTAGCTCTACTGGACCAGCTTTTGGGTGGGCAATATATTCTCTAGATTCTGGCTCCTGTTGAATTCTAGATTGCTTTCCTGGCTCAGGTTCCTGTGAGGCAGCTTCCTGTTCAGCGAAGGGTGCCCCTTGGATGGGAGGTGATAGCTGTGGTGCAGGCTCCTGTGTGGCAGGAGGTTTCTGCTGCCGAGCAGATTTTGTTTGAGCTAGTGCTTCCTGCTGGGATTCTGCTTCATGGTGGGCAGGGGACTCTTGCTGAGTGAGGGGTCTTTGCAGAGAAGCAGGCTCCTGTTGGGTATCAGGTCCCTGCTGAGTCTTAGATGCTGATGGAGCTGTGGGTGTCTCTTCTGGCTCAGGCTCTGGCTGGGAAATGGATGCTTCCCTGTGAGGGCTAGACACTGCATCTGGCTGCTCTGTTGTTACTTCTCTCACAGGAGATGATCTTCCAGGATTCATCCTTCCGACCCCTCCTCCCACTGGCCTCTGTGGTCACAGGTCTCTCATTGACTCCTCATGGTGGCATCTCCCTTTGGGTTCCTCTCCTTCATTCTGACATCCCTGGCCTTCTTTTTTAAACAGCAGTTGGTAAGTGGGCTGACCACTGCTGACCCTAACTCCTGGGCCAAGTGCTATACCTCAGTGCCTCCTGCTGTGGGAGCAGAGCTTAGGAACAGGAGGAGGTGGTAAGCCCAGCACTCTCTTACCAGGGGGGAGGGGCTTGGTCTCTTGTGTCATAAATAGGGCCCCACCCCACTCACACTCAGTTAAAATGTTTCTTCTCAAAAGGCAAGCATCTGGAATTGGTCTCTTTTTATCTGGGATGCCAGAAACCAAATTCAGGAGGAATGTTCCTTTTCTTTTCCCATGATTTTTACAAAAAGGGTCAGAGGGGAAGGCAGGATCTATATGTTGTAATAATTTTTTTCTTCTCTATTCATTCCTTCAAATGGTTGCCAGTTTAATTTCCTTTTATTATCATTTTCGGCATTTCACTCCCACGTTGAAAAAGGGCATCCTGCCATTTTTACAGCTCGAAGCTGTAAAAGTGGTATTTGGGATTGTCCACACCATCTCTCTAGTCCTGAACCTACGGTCCTACATATGTGTGCTTGACTGGAAACTCACAGAATACAGTGACCATTAATGATGATGAATATGATTAATAATAATCATAAATACTTAAGGTATTCTATACCAGTTTTAAAAACCTTACTATCTTTGATTAGACCTTGTCTGAGTCATTGCTATAATTGCTTTCTTTATCCCACTTATCTTTTACTACAGAAATGTTTGTTGAATAAGTAAAAGAATTAAAAGTTGTGTGTAGGTGGTGAGTGTAGGTGGGGAGTGAGAGAGAGAAAGGTGGCTATGAGAAATATACGTAGGATCTGGATTGAGCTATGTTTGGAGAGAACAAAATGAGTCATCTGGAGTGAATGTGGGCTCCCAGACCCCATTTGAAAGAAATGATCTTTACTTATGAACTTAAAGATGTTTATTGACCTCTGCTATCCACTTGCCTGGTTGGTAGTTAGGTGGGACCAGCTTGGTAACCTGGGCTTCCTGGTTTCTGTCAGATAATCAAACTTATACCTGGGTAGGGGAGAGCAAAGGACTGACAATAGAGAAGGCACTAGAAGGAACAGTGATCTTAGGGGAAATACTTTTTGAGAACATGGAATGATTTAGAGAGTGGGGACTGAGAGATGGAGCTTGAGACACAGGGAAGAGCATCTTCAAGATGTGCTCACTGCCTTAACAGAGTGGTTAATTGAGAGCGCGGCTCCTATAGAGGCAGAGATAGGCTTGCTAGCTGACACTGTTTGAGGAATTGCTGGCAGGCTCTGGAGTGCTTGTTTGGCTTCCTGTGCTGACTTTGGTGGCCTATGGTGAAAACAAAGGGGAGAGACTAGTTCAAACACACTTTTGAAACGTAATTTTTTGGAGAGATTTTAAGATTATAATAGGGACTCCCTGGTGGCACAAGGGAGTACATAAGACGCAGTACTATGAAGCTATCCACAGCTACTGCAGCACGAGTTCAATCCCTGGCCAGGGAGCTGACCCACGTGGCACAGCAAATCA